AAGAAACTGAGGTCATCAACGTCATATCAGATCTTAAAATTGCCTGGCTTCGATGAAATAAAATCCGAATTAATAAAACCCATAATATCGTTTATTATAAAACCTGTTGTAAGTGCAGACCTGTATAATTAAAATTGTTATAATTATTTGTTTTAGTTTTTTGAACGATTGTATAAATAAAACGTCACTGTCATCACAAGGTACATAATATTTAATTTTTCTTCACAACGTTATCAGACGAACCTCTGTTATGATCTAGTAAAATTAAATAGGGTAAGCGAAAACATAAGTTTCAGAGATTACTGGCGGTGATGCGGATAGTAGTACTGTATCTATACTTTCATTAACTAAAGCAAAAGACGTTGTTTTCTGATTTAAAGCATTCAAACCCAGAGTGCAGCTCAATAATGCATTTAATAGAGCCTGTACCTGCATACTTAGTTTTGATTCATTGATCAGATTCAACCGCAAATGATTCTATTGTTTTAGAAGCAATAGCTTTTCCAAGTATAGCAGAGGTTGATATCTGCGAGGATCTCCGAGAATCCTCAACCGTTGAGGAATATATTTCTGATTAAAAAACTGTAGGAGAAAGATATCCACTCACAAACAAAATAGCTAGCATTGATTTGATTTATTTTATAACAATGTCACAGCGTGCATATATTTTAATGAGCCCCGATATTTTGTAGAAGCTGTTAATTCAAAAGATAATGAGCATTGGTATTCTGCAATAAAAGATGAGTATGACTCATTAATAAATAAGGGAACTTGGATGCTTGTGGAAAGACCTAATAAACAGGTTATTTCTTGCAAGTGGGTTTACAAACTAAAGAAAAATACTGAAGGCCAAATAGTTAAATAGAAGGCTAAACTCGTTGCTAAAGGCTTCAGTCAAATTTCTGGTGTCGACTACTATGAGACCTCTCCAGCGGTTCGCAACTCATCCCTTAGTATGCTTATAGCTTTAGCTGCAGAAAGGAATTTAAACATGCAACACTTAGATGTTGATACAGAATTTTTAAATGGAGAATTAGAGGAGGAAACATATTATGTTGTGTTGGGAATGGGGTGTTAATACATTGCGACCTAAAAAATCTATTGTGCCCCCTTTCATCGCCAATGCACCAAGGAAATGTCTCAATACTATAACGACCCTTCCAATCCGATTTTCTCAAGGAAGTGTAGGATGAAGTGGCTTCAAGTTAGGTAAATCTCCCTTTTCTATTTGATATCCTCCTAGATATTCCCTTGGAATCTGGAGTGCTACACATTCAGTATGGATGTGAATGGAGGTTTTGTCCTCCTCCTCACAGAATCTGCATTAACTATCCTCTATTACTCTCAGTTTACTTAGGTGTTCTTTTAGTCGTCAATGCCCGATAAGGATCCCAGTTACAATACGTATCCTGTTCTTGCTCAGGCAGATGCAGGCTTCCGATCTTTTCTGGTTATATTTACCCAGAAGTATCTGGGCCTGTCTTAGCCTCAAGAGATTGTTCCAATTATCGGTTCTTCTACTGCGCAATTCTTTTTTGATATTTCCTTATATTATGTTACTGCGGATACCGCAGAACTTCTCAGGACCTACAAAGGATGTCTGAGACCCTTTCCTTGCAAAACTATCTGCAATCTCGGTATAAAGTCTACATGACCAACCTGAAGGATTTGTCAAACAAAGAGAAAAAGGTAAGGTATACTGGCTGAAAAGTATTTTTATGGGCTAAAACATGCAGCACGTTCATGGAACATAAAGCTAAATGAAACTTTATTTTCTTTGGGTTCTTTACAAACTCCTTCAGAACCTTGTGTTTACACTAAAAGGTTTAATGAAGACATACTTATACTGGCAGTTTATGTTGATGACCATATATTTTTTATGAGGAAAACAATTCTTTTGAATTTGTTAAAAAAGAGTTAAACAAATATTTCTTAATAAAAGTATTGGGATATCTTAAATATTGTTTAGGTTTATTTGTAAAGCGTTATGGTAATTCGATAAAGATAAATCAGAGAACACACATTTTAAAAACTTTAAAGCGACTCAATATGCAGGATTGTAAATCAGTTTCTACTTTTCTAGAAAATTATAAATTAAAACCATATAATAAGGGTAAACAATCTACTGTGTATCCTTACCAAAACCTGATAGATTGCCTAATGTTTTTATTTCTTAATACTCGACCGGACATAGCCTATGCAACTAGCTATTTGAGTCAATTCGACACTAAATTTGACACAACGCACTGGCTAGCCGGCAAAATGGTACCATTGATTAGTCCATAGCTTACAGGAAGACCGGCCACTATTAATATGGTCATACAGATGCAGATTGGGAAAATTGTTCCGTTAGTCGACGTTCTTATACCGGGTTCTATTTTTCTTTGGCCGGCGAACCAATTTCCTGGGAGTGTAAGAAGCAGGCAAAACAGTTGCTCTCTCATCTACTGAGGCGGAGTATATGGCCCTCACAAGCGCTGCCATGAAAGCCACGTTTCTTCTAAGATTTATTCCCGAAATAATAGGAACGAAAGACAGAGTTATTATTTTTAGTGACAGAGTGCACGTAAAATAGCACTTAATCTAATGCATCACAACAGGACTAAACATATAGATACAAAGTAATATTTTATAAGAGAAAAGATATCTGAAAAAAAAATTGATAATATACATTATTTGCCAACAGAAAATATGTCAGCTGATATTCTAACAAAGCCTTAATAATTTGTAAATTCCTTTTAGTTAGTGTTTTATATTATACTTTGTCAATCGTACCTGAATTTTGATTAGGGGGAATGTTGTAAATGCAGACCTGTATAATCAAAATTGTTATAATTGTTTGTTTTAGTTTTTTAAAGATTGTACAAATAAACATCAGTGTCATCACTAGGAACCTATTATTTAATTTTACTTCAAAACCTTTAACATTTAACATTTATCGTTAATAAATCTCTAAATGAGTGTGAATTTTCTACACTGTTTAATATGTCAACCAATATACCGATCTATAAAAATGGAGATAATACAGAATTGACAAATTATTGTCCAATAGCATCTAATTTTAGTAAAATTCTCGAAAAAATTCTAAAAAACAGCTTAACTGGTTTTATAAAGAGTGAAAAATATTACATTACATGTTTTAGTGAGCTGTTTGTGAAGAAGAAGAACTTTGACAGTATCAGTATCACGGTTTGTAAACTACTACGGTGGCCTCTTCCTGTTGCTAAGGAAAAGTAAGACGTCACAGAATCACATAGCTTCCCCAGATATAACAAGAAAATTAAACATTGCCTTTTATGAAATCCTAACCCATTATAAGATCCTTGTTACTTTTAGGGTCCAAATAATTAGATTGAAAATATTGTTTAAAATCGATTTACGGTCGCTATAAATTAAATAATATTAAACCAATAATTAGTACTGTGTCGTAATTTCCGTTAATAACCTACAACATTGAAAATTATTAGTTCCGACCGTGAACCCCGTAATAACAGTGTTAACCACATTAATCCTGTAATTTGTGTCATACACTATGCTATTATTTAGTTCATCGGACAGTAATCTATCAGCCTAATTATTTGAGTGCATTTAAAAATTTAATTATAGTTTCGACAACCACTAAATAATAATAAATTTATTATTATGGTTTTTTTATATGTAATATTAATCATTACTCATAAATGTTACATAATAAGTCAATAATCTTTTTTTTTTTTTATAAATTCAAAATGTAATTTTCGTTATTCACACCTTACAAATTCATTTTATAAATTTTGATACTTGCAGGACTTTGGTTAATTTTTTTTTTTAGATTTAGAAAAAAATTCTTAAGTAAATCTGAACTTTTAATATATAAGTTAAAAAAAATCGAATGGACGTGATGCAAGATTGTATTCTCGTGGTATCGTGTTACTCTGGGTTCGCTGTAATACAACCATAACTTGCTTACCTACTTTCGAAGATCAGGAAACAAGAAAGTCTCTTAATCACTATATTCACTTGATGAGTCATTTTTTACTGATACTATTAAGGTGGCACTGTTGTATCGACATCCAAGATTTTGTGCAGATTCCACATGTCTTTTTCTTCTTTTACTCAATTGCCTCGTGCCAATTTTCCTTCGTAAAAAGTGATATGGAGGTTTCTATCAATGCTTCTACATATTTTAACTTAAATGTCGTATTATGTCGACTTACATCGACGAGTACAAGACAAAACGATGTAAGCGACATTTTTATAAATAATTAATGGAAGCTCTAAACGCCATATCTTAGTGTAACCGACCGAAATTGATTAAAAGATATATTTTAATTTTAATTTGCTCAAACGTCATAATGGTGCGAACCTAAGGTGCAAAACGTAACCAAAGTTTGACGTAACGTTTAAGACTTGACGTTTGTGGCACAAGCTCCAGTTTTTGCATTGTGCGCTACAGAGTGAACATCTGTGTTTAAAATTTAATTTTTACTGCTAAAACAACAAACAGACAAAGGGTAAGTTATGAGCTAGTTTGTTAACTATATGTAGTAGAGTATTTTTGTAGATTTTTTAAAATTAAAAACCCAAAAATCTTAAAATGTGCGTTTAAATATGTGTCGGTTATGCCAAATTAAAAAATTGGATTTCCATTCAGACACAAGCGACAATTTACACTGTAAATTTTATTAATTTCTATGTCCTTTAATTTGGCAATGCTACTGTTTTAAAAAATTAAACTGTTTTTAAACAAATTTTTGATAATAATGTACATAATTATTTATACGATTTTTTAAAGAACCTGTTTTGTTTGTTTTATTTCAGTCATTTTAATTTGGTGCTTATGCCTGAATCATATGTATTCTAGAGGTCTAAAGATAACTTCATTATTAAAGAACCAATCTGATTCTGCATAATTTACTGAAGAAACCTTTCCTCTCATTGAAACCTTAAATCACGATATAACTATTAAAGATTTACCAAAATTTACATATGAAATATCTTCTTCAAACCATACTTACAATATGCAAGCCTTTTTGCTAAAGAAGACTTTTCTTCTAAAGAAGCCATTTTATCATCTTATCCTGCAGAGCAGTGTATCGGTACATTACTTGTGTTGAAAATTTTGTAATAATTTGTTGATAATAGTTTTTGCAATAAAATCTTTCTTTTAATCATTTACACTTAGCAAATGATTGACTGTAAACGACACTTTTAATTGGGTGCTATTAGCATAACCAGACGTAAGCGACAGAGCAAAATAGACTTAATTGACAAAGAAAAAAAAATGAAAGTCCTTAGCACTAAATTTTAATATAAACTCTATTGTTAATTGTGCTGTTCTAATAAGATTCTAATAAGATTGTTATCGGGTCTGTGGTGTAGCAGCCTCACGCGACTAATAAGTCTCTCGTTGAGAGGAATGTTTTTAAAAAGAATTTTTATTACTAATGCTTGAATAAAAACCCAAAATAAATTATATTTAATATTTAATGATAATGTTATCATTACAAGCTATGATATCAGACTGATTTTATTTTATTAAAATGTTACTATGAGAAAAAAATAGAGTCAGCAATTCACACACACTTCACATAGGTTCAGTAACACTGCCGGCAACCCGATACCGTTTTCCTGTAAAAGGTGTATGGGGTCATCGATCATAACTCCTCTACCCTTGGACCTTGGCATATTTTACAGAGTGAAAAATGCCCTTGGAATTGGATTGGGAGCTTCAAGTGGTTGACTTTCTTCTATAGCTTCTTCTTCTTTTTTAACTTGGGATGTCGGTAAATTTGGTTTTTTCTTATCTCTAATAAATTTAATGGTGGCATAAACTATGACAACTCCTAATAATAAATACATTATAATATTTAAAGGATTTACTGAATAATTATTTTTGAGGTGGTGCAATATTATTGGTTTTATTTGATTCTGTCTCGCTTGAATTAAATGAAATTCATCAAGAGGTTCATCTTTTAAATTAATTTCTGCTATTTCTTCTGTATTTCTGGAGTACGGGATGGTTATCTCTGGTAGCAATAGGGGTTGGCCCATTGACAGAAAATTTTCATTGGTAAAAATTTTGTTTTCAATTTTAATTTGGCATTGGTACGGTATAAAAATTAAATAATTTCCTTGAAGTATAGTAAAATCAGTCCTACCACATTTATTTTCGATTTTAGTTTTATTCACAAAAATACCAATATAGTGTGATTCGTCAATTTGTTGGATAACATTCCTTGATACTTTGATTGGCGATCTTTGGCATCCCCTGGTATTGAATTGCAATTGGAGCAACTGAAATATGCAATCCTCTGTTTCGATTCCATCGGCTAGGTCATCATCAGTACAGTAGTAGTTGGTTTTCAGGTTGATACATGGGAGCGATGAGTATTGGTAGAGGTTTTCGTTCATCATCAGACAGGTATTGCGAGGAATTATATTTGTGGAATTTAGGGTAGGAATTGAATAAAGGTGATAGTATGAAAAGTTTTCAGGAAAAACTATGGGAAAATGGAGAGCGAAAACGATCTTAGAATCAGAATAATAAGCATATATTTTTAGAATTTCATAGTATTTGTAAGTATCGTTAATTGAATTTGTAAAAAGAAGTTCGTCTATCGAATGGTACTTTAAAACAGTTTTTATAACTGATTTTATCTCTTCTGGTTTTATTATGCTAGGATGTAAAACTCCTAATCGTGCAAACGTTACAGAATTTTCTATTTCTCCTAAAAGTGGTATAATGATGCTTAAACTTAAATTTAATTGATCTAAAATATTTCGAGTTTGTAAGTAATCATTAAATTGAAAAACAAATTGATTTAAAGCAGTTCGAATTCTTTCTATTCCTGCACATATTACTTTTTGATTACTTTTTATTAAAGATATTGTTTTGTTAAAATTTTGAATAATATCTTTTGTAAGTGAAATTTGTTGATTTACTTTTTGTACAATTTCCAATTGATTGTTCTGAAGATCTGAAATGGCTTGATCATAGTGAAATGCATCATTTGCATCTAAATTGCCAGAAATACTCTTAATTATAGAACCTAAACCATCAATAAGACCATGTTTTACTCTACTAGGAGGCATTAGAGAATTTAATTTGTTATCTGCTAATGTTAATTGATAAAGAAGTGCTCGATCAAAACTCTATATGATAAGGGCTGCCAAGCTTATCTTGAATGGCATCAGTTACATTTTTGTAGGCAAATTTTAAAATTTCAATTTCATCTTTTATAGGTGCTAAATCATAATAATGAAGAAATGTATGTACCGTTGATTTTACTTTAGCTGTGCCTAAAAGATAGGGAAGGATACCAGGATTATTAATTAGGTTCGTCAATTGTATCTCTTGAGGCCTTACTTGTAGAGGGACCAGGATCATTAGGATCAGTGGCGTCCTGTGAAAGTTTTGTCTTGTTAGTTTTTGGTCTTTTAAGTATCTGTTTATGTAATAAAGCCTTTTTATGAGTTTTTACTTTTATATTTTCATTATCTAAAACTTTATCCTTATAGAATTTTGGATTTAACTTGTTTCTGACTTGCGTTGTATTTTTTCTGTAAACGTCAGTGTCAGGTATGTACGTTAGTGGTTCCTGTCGATCTTTATTGTGATATCCTATTGTCTTTTCTTTTTGCGAGATTAGTTTCTCATTTAATTTTTTGTAAATTTCGGTTGTGGTTTCCCTATGTTCCTGAATGTAATTGTTAATTAATTTTTGATTAATGTCGATATCGAAAAAATCTTTATAATCAAAATGACCATTATAACGTCAATTGGTTTTTGTTTAGTCACAGAGTGTATAGAATTATTATATCCGAAAATAGCACAAGGCATATCATTTAAAATGTCAATTTTACCATTATTTTTTGCTTTAATAATTCTTAAATGTTCAATGATTGTTGAACGTAAACGCTCGATTGCGCCTTTTGACTGAGAACTATTGGGTGAAACATAATGACTTTTGATTTCATGAACATCTAAAAATTCCTGAAGCATTGAGTTTTTTAATTCACTTCCATTGTCCATTATAATAAGATTAGGTGAACCATGATGTGTCATGAAAATTAAAAGAGCTTTAATAATGTCTATCCCTGTCAATGCTGCAAGTGAGTATGCATTGTCAACCTAACATAAGACGGCTTTGGCCCCAATTTAACGTTTTTTTGAATTTCCGAAAAAAACTTATTTGTACAAATTTGCACACCTGAATCTTGAGCACAAGAATACATCTATCTTCCTCATGGAAAGTTACCAGTAATTTAAGCATTAACGCTAGCTTCGTCACACTCATAAATCTGTTTTACTCGCGCTATGAAAAGTATAGTAAACAATAGATCGTTAAACTACATCTACAGCTACAAACGACAATATTCTATCATTATATAAAAAATATATCGAGGAAACATCTTCCGATACTTTCTCAACCGATCAGAACAAAACACGCCCATAAACGTAACTATACACTTGACGCGACAAGACAAACATTGAGAACGATTTTGACTATCGACATATCAACATCTCGGCTTTCTCCCGTCGCGAACTCGATGCTAATTTTGAGGTGCATTAAACCTGCTAATTATTCTTAAATTATAAATTTAAGTACTCGTATCATTTCACTATGTAAAATTGTTGTAGGCTGAAGAGTGTTTATAGTGTAAAACACATTTAATTTTATCACAATCACAAAAAAAAGAAAATTTGTATTTTATGATTTTTCTATTCATTAAAAAATAGTCTAAAAAAATATTAAATGAAATAAATTAAATACAAGGAGATGTAGGTTAAAAATAAGTTGACGCGAAGTTGTAATACGTTGGACACTGAAAATGATGAAGGGTTATTAACAAACAGAACCTAGGCCGAATACCTAATCTCAAATTACCTTTAAAATAAATGTAAAGAGAAAGTGCCTAACGGATTTTAAAGACAAAACGAGGGTTCTGTTCCACAATAAATATACTAAACCATTAGCAAATATTACAGTAAAATTTTAAGCGATTTCATTATCCCATTTCATATTTATAATGAAATGAGTGGAAGCCAGATATTAAAAGATTGGCTTCTAAATCGAAAACTGAAAATTATACAGGATTGTTTATAAAATAAAATGCATATTAAAGAGCAGAGTAAAACGAAAACAAATAAAGGAAATAAAAAGTCTTTTAAATCTCACTGTGTTATTTTAAATGCGACCGTTTCGAAGTTTGTATCAGTTACATTATGATATATGAATCTATTATTAATATTCGAAAAATTATAAAACTTTAAAATTTAGAAATAGTAATTTTTTATTTTTCGTAAGATAATTACAATTGTATAAGATTCGACCAATAATAATAATAATAATAATAATGGCCCACCGCAAATAAATATTAATACTAGATAAAATAAAATATACTAAATACAAACATGATGTTATTCTAAACTGAATAAAATATTAAAAACAAACAAATTTAGCTATAGAATAAAAATGTTTTTTAGAAACATTTTCAAATGATTATAAAACACATTAATATTTGTCCAATTTTTTAATTCACTAGGGAATTATTAAAAAATTTTGAATTCCTAAAATTTGGGGTATTGTAGCCTTATGTAGCCTAGCCTTGCCTAGTTTAATAACTATAAATTTCTCTGTTATTTACAAAACAAATTTTGTTTTTTAAATATGAACGCTTAAATTTCAAAAGTGTACTGTTATGCAGCACCCTGTAGCGTGCTGCGGTCGTCATAAGTAAAGGTACAAGTAAATAAAGAAGATAGAATAGTCCAGAAATATCTCGAAATGTCATTTTTTCTCAAAGAAAACTCCGGATTGTTAAGGATTATTCAAGAAGGATTGTTAAGGATTGTTAAGGATTGTTTAAGATGGTTGAGCCGAGCTATATAAGTAGACGACCTGACGTCAGAGTTCAGTTTTATGATGGACGTTATGCGTTAATGTTATTAGTTGTATTGTTGTTGTAAAAGTTGAGTTGAAATAAATTGAGGTAACAAAAACCAACATAACATTGGTGACAGCGGTGGGATATAAAATTAAAGTTACTAAAGCATTTTATTCATGGTAAATACTAGATTCACTATACATTAAACAAATATAGATATTTTTTGCCCACCAGCATGTTTTTTGAAGATGAAAGAGGAGAGAGTAAGGCGAGAAGAGGAAAAGGAAAAGCGTAGGAAAGAAAAAGAGGAAAATGAAAGGGGTGAGAAAAAAGAAGAGGAGAAAAAGGAAGGGAGTAAAAAGGAAGAAGAAGGGAAGAAAGTAAGGCGAGAAGCGGAAAAGAAAAGGTGTAAGAAGAAAAAAGAGGAGGAAAAAAAAAGACGAGAAAAGAAAAAAGAAAGACGCAGAAAGGAAGAAGAGGTGGAAAAGAAAAAGAAAAAGAAGAGAGGCATACAAAAGCTGAGGTAGAAATTATGAATGGTTTGCTACAAATCCAGGAAACCTTCAAGCAAGAGGTTGGTTAGCTTAACATTACAGTAGATCTTTTAGAGCAACAACAAGAGCATTTAAAAACTAATTTAGAACAAAAGAAAGAGCATTTAAAAACTGATTTAGAACAACAACGAGATAATTTAAAACAGGCTAGAGTTCGAAAGGCAAATTAAAACTGAACTAGTTGAGTTAGGAAGAAGAATTTGTAGCCTAGCTTCGATAAGCAACAGAGAAACTGAAAACACTACCTCGTCTTCATCTGTAATCGAACCAAGCCATATTCAAAACTCAGTTTTACAAATATATACTAGCAAGATCATTAAGCCACCCACGTTTGACGGTCATACAACATGGGAAACCTATCACCTCCAATTTAAAGCTGCAGCTAGAACCAATGGCTGGGCTGAAAAGGAGATGGTGGCTGCATTGATAGTTGCTGCGAGGACAAGCAGCAACCGTTTTATAGTTACTTCTTCAAGGCAAACGCAGTTATTCATATCTCTTTTAAGCTTTGGAGACAAAATATGACCAGCAGCATTTTAAACGGATATTTCAAAGCCAGCTAGAGATTCGCAGTCAAAAACATAATGAGAGTTTACAGGAATTCGAGATCGATATAAAACGATTGACTCATCTGGCTCACAGGCACCCAAAGATTATTAAGAACAAATCAGCATGCGAGCATTTATTGATGGACTACAACATCACAAGACGCTGGGGGAGAAACTGATTTCAGTCCGGGAATATGAAATGGTAAGAATCATATCCAGATCTCGCGCAAAAGTGGGCAAAATTAAATCCTAGGAAAGTGAAAAGGCCAATACTAATGCTATTCCTCAACCTACACTCCCGCAAATATTAAATATCCTGCAAAATATGCAACGAATCAGCCAAAATGGAAGCAGGATATGTTTCGACTGTGGAATAATCGGAAACCTTTAAAGAACTTGTAGAAGCAGAGCTCGTTCTATAAATCGAGAATCAGGAAATAAGGCTGGAAATTCAAATAGATCAATTTTCCGAAGCTCGTCACGAAGTCCAACAAGAAATAGTCACAGCAGCTATGCGTCCTGAAGAAGCCAATTACGCAGACCGAGCCGGCTTTCTAGCAATAATAAGGAAGCAGAGCATCATATAGGCAGTCTCCATAGCAACGCAGATATTCTCTCCAGGCGATCCTGTTTAGAACGAGAATGCCGGTACAGTAAGAGGCTCGGAGAACAGAAGGAACCGGTTGATAAAGTTACTCTTTTGGCTAGCACTATCAAACCAGAGGATGATGAAGAAGAAATTAGCCTTGAAAGCCTGAGAAACGAGCAGAAGAAAGACAATGCTTTGAAGGTTGTTGGAGAATGGCTCAAAAATAAAGTTACAACTACTTGGTAAGAGTTATCCAAATAGAGTGGAGCTATTAAAGGGTGTTGGAGTGGGATTCCTTGTATCTTCATGATTGCACGGGAAGTGGAAAATCCCTGATTGAGTACATGTAGTCCCCCAAGTGGTATTGCCGAAATCACATGTCAGAAGTATGTTGAAAGAACCTCATTGTAGCCACTCTGGAGGACATTTTGGTACTAAAAGAACACTGGTAAGAGTTTCGGTAAAAATTTAATTGGGTTAATTGCGGACTGGATGTAGCAGATTGGTTTAAAAAATGTGATGAATGGAATGGCAGGACAAAGATCTACGGATTTGCTCGGGAACGACTGAAAGCCAATAGCGTTAAAGCAGAAGATAGAATCTATAGGCGTGCTACAGGGACACATTTTGAGAGAGGCGACCGAGTACGGCTGTGCAATCCCAAGCATCGAGAAGGATTTTGTCAGAAATCGCAACGGAACTGGGAATGCCCCTCCTACGCCTCTCAACGACCTGATCTACCACATTCAGCTGTCTAGAAGGTTGAGGCAAGCTATATAAGTCGACGACCTGACGTCAGAGTTCAGTTTTATGATAGACGTTATACGTTAATGTTATTAGTTGTATAGTCATTGTAAAAGTTGAGTTAAAATAAATTAGGATACTAAAAACCTGCGTAACAGTACAAAGATGGAAATATGATTTACATTAATTGTTTTGTGAAATGTTTGTTGTACATCGTATTATTTTTTTCATACAATGGAAATAAAACTAATGGAATTAGCTTTCAAATTAAGTTTTACACATAGAGAGATGTCCTCTAGAAATAAAAATCTGTTTGTGCTAAGCAATTTTTGATATTATTTTTTATTAGGAGATATTGCTAATGGTTACTTTTTAAATCGACACCTTGTGCATTGAATTTTTATAAAATTATCAAAAAAAAACATGCATACATTTTTTTTATTACTTCTGGTATATATAAATTACTGAAGTTATTTTGTCTGCATTTTAAAATAAGTAAATTATATTACCTACAATAATCGTCAAGTTTATATCATATATAAAATAAAAGTTCTCTCACCTAAAAACAATTATGGTGTTCCAGGAAAAAAGTTATAGCCATCATTAGTACAAGTTAGCATCCTGTTCCTCATTTTACAACTTAAGTACCTAGTATTTGTTACAATAACTTTAACAATCATGCAAGGTATATGCAATTAATTTATTTTGACCGTTTCAATTACTCGGATCATGTCAACCCTTCGAGAAAATTAATGTTCGTTTATAAAATGTATGTACTATACGTTTAACTACATGCGAGAAAGTGACCTTGTTTTTTTATGAAGGAAAAGATATTTAAAAGTTTATAAATAAGCGATTTTATTTGATTAATATCGTAGGACTCGCACATTTCCATATGAAATGACCAGTATTTTCATTTTATGCTCAAAAGCTTTAAAACTTATTTATTGGTTTATTTTTCAATTTATTTTCTATTGCCTTGGTTAAATTTCTATAAGTTTATTTTAAGATATATTTTTGTATTACCGACTAAGATGTATGGAAAAAATTTAAATTGTTTAATGTTTATGGTGAACTATAAACAAAAACTTTCATTTTTTGAACGTAACACGTTGTTATTTGTTAACAAATTATTAAATGCTTTATTAAAATTATTAGATAGGTACCTATTAGGCATACTGGTACTGGTTGGAGTGTTCATACAGTGTTGAAGTTCTTTAACATAAGTTAGATCGGGGTATAATAATATTTAAATTTAACAATTTGTATCTGTACATAAGAAATCTTAAAATCAATTCTAAAGCATTATGCAATCCACGTTACAGATACGTGGTTATTTAGTTTTAAAACGATGCGCTAGTTCAGTGTGATGTCATTTTGGTTCCACTGACATTTAATTCTAACCATACTTTTAACAAAAACATTAATAAATTTGACATATACATTATTACTGTTTTCAGTTTATTTCTAAATATTGTTTAAAGATTGTATATTTGATGCATGTTATCTACTTATTTTAGGAATATATTTATACAAGTGAAAAAACTATATAACTATACAACTAACAAAACTCACTCAAAAAATCTACTGTCACTTTGTCAGTGAAACCATAATTACATCATCACTGAACCAGCGCATTGGACGTGTCGAATAAGCAGCGTACACTTTGAGTCCACTAGATCTTCTTTGTTGACACAATGGATAAGTTCTCTACTTCAGTAGCGCAAGATATGTTTCGCCTTTGTCGCCTTTGTTGTAAATACTGAAGTATTAGGCAACCCACGCTAAAGATACGTAATTATTTCCTTATAGAACGATTGGACGTGTCGAAAATATAACGAACGCTCTGAGTCCAAATCTTCTTCGTTGATACAATGGACAAGTTCTCTACCTCGATGGCGCAAGATATGCTTCGCCTTTGTTATAAAAAGTGTGGTAAATCAGGGCGTCATGCTATCTTGTTTATTTTTATTACAGAAATGTTGGCAAAGCGTGATAAATTTTATCAAGTTAATGCCGTACAAAACATGTAAATAGTTTATATTTGTTTGTGATGAAAAATATGGAGTTAGTGTAGCCGGCATTATATGTTATGTAACAACGATGAAACTCAGCATTTTTCTGGTAAACACTCCACTACAGTCTTGGAACTAAGTTGTTGTATGTAAAGGTACCGGGAGACACCAAAACCTAAAATCGCAACAATACAAATATAGGAATTAATGTGGAACATTTTAAAAATTATTTTTGAATAAAACGCCGGGGGTCAAATAATATTTATTTCGGTTTAAAATTAATGTAACTAAAAAAATATTTTAAAAAAATTCCTTCAAGCTGCGCCCATCATATGACGTCACTAGGCTTAAAAGATCTTTGCGCAACATGCAAATTTATATATTTTTGACCTTTATTTTTTTTCAATCGTCTCTGTAACTGTCAACCGATCTTCTGAGCACCCAGGAATCTTATAATAATTATATGTTTAGTTAGTCGTTATATTCTTAGTATCGTCTCTCGTCGCAACCTTCAACTTCAAGAGGATCTTCCGCTAGTTTCAATCGTAAGTTTCCTTTAATAGCTTCAGCATGCGGTCGCACTGTTGTATCAGATTCCTCAGCGGTATCCTTTATCAATGCTCTGTTGAAAGGCAAAGATAACCATCTCAAATGTAGTGGATCCAATGACAGTAAGAAGAGCAAAAACAATGTTGATTGGAATTTACCAATAATGTACTAGCAGAAGACGAAACCTAATTAGGTTTAAATTTTGATGGTAAGAAGGGTAAAACCATGAAGCAAGAACTTGTTGATGGCAAGTATTTTCGTACTAGAGTATCTGAAGAGCATATGTCTCTAATAAAGGAACCAGAGTCAGTTTATTTTGGCCATGTCACGCCAGTCACCGGATCAGCTTCAAATATCAAATCTAGTATTCCTAATTAAACATAAAATAAATTATTCACGAATTGTTGCAGTAGCTATGATGGGACTGCAGTTAATACAGGTGCAAAAATCGGAGTAATTAGGTTGTTGGAACTGGAACTGAGATTCGTATGTCGGCAACATGCAAACGAACGCCTACTTCGATACTTATTGCAACATTTAGATGGAAAAGCTGAAAGACCTTGAAAGTTTTTAGAACAAACTGGAAAGCAGTTGGAAAATGTCTTCTTTATTTTGGATGTTAAAAGTCCCACGAAATCAAATCAATGTAATCAGTTGCGTCAAACTTAAGCTTAGGTATGAAAAATGTAGATCTTATTTTAAGTATTCGTCTACAAGCCAATTTTTAAATTTCTGGCCTGTAATAACAAAACATAGCAATAAGGATGTTTAAAGGGTGACCTAAATACTCATTACTTTGGATTACGAGATACTTTTGGTTGGTGCTAAGATCAGATTTATAGAAGATTGTATCAAATTTAAACGTAATCTTTCTCAAATAACGCAATTTAAAGTTTCTCACAATTTTCCAACTGCTTTTTAATTTTTTCTGAAAACCTGCAAAGTTCTCTAGTTTTTCCATCTGATAAGAGTGACGGAAATATGCTAAAATGATGAGAGAGATATGGTTTGAATTATAAGAGAGAGAAATTTATTTTTCTAACGATTCTTGTTGCTCTACGAATTTATTTTCATGGGATTCAAATCTTGATGTTTCTTAGTAAGATCTGTTGATTCTAAAAATAAGTTTTGTATTGTGTATGTGTATTGGTCTTTATGTGATTAAAACTTGATTTTCATTTTACTTTATTAAATTAGGTGATGCAAACTATAAATTGAATAAAGAACTATGATGCTATTTTTATGGTTCCTTTCTTTTCATTATTTATACAAAGTGAGTTATAAGAATAACTGACGTATCTATTAAAAAATGTTTATCATTTTGAAATAAATCAATTTATTACCGCGTCAACGAAATTACCATAAAATGTATAAATTTAAAATATATGCATCTATTCCTCTTTAGTGTAAATCAAAACGGCATTTTAAAAATAAAATTTTATAATTATACAGTATTTTTAAACAAAATATCTTATCTGTAACCTGCAAGAGCATAAGGTTATCCTGTGAGAGCCGAACAGCCATTGATTTAAATGTATCGTACATGTACATGTTGATCAATTTGACTACGATGGTCTCCAACGTGTCACGAATATTATACTCTGTTTTTAAACTAAGAGGAGCAATTTGAATTTAAGTTGGCAATTCTGTAGCCTTCTGATTGGTCAGATTGCAGTCAGTTTCACACATTACTTTTTAGCATGAACATCAGTTAATAATTAATATTAGGCCTTCCAAACTGAATGGCTACCATAGATAAATTAATAAACAAGATAAACCGTTTAAATGCACGGCACTGGTAACAAGTTTTTAGGTGTTTAGTTCCTCAGCATACTACTTGGAGCCACCATCGCAATAAGAAGAAAGCGATGTTGCCAGTTTCCATAAATTTTCATAAGATTAGAATTATTTAAACACATTATGTTGTTTTTTTTGTCAAGCTCGATGCCATCCATACAATGGCATACTATTGCATACTATTGATGGGATATTTTAAAAAGAGGTTTGACAACCTTGTAAAAATGAAAAACGAAATGGCGGCGGAAGGCGAAATGGGCAAATTACAACAATATAAGTAAATAAAAGTTATTTTATGATGTAAGTTCGCATAGGTAGGTAAGAGGTAAGTTATTTTTAGGTTAAGAAGATATGAGTGATGATTTGATGTAATTAGTAAGTATTAACAATTTAATTTAATATTAGGTGTTAGATTTGTTTAAGGACTTTGTTTATCATTGTTTTCTTAGCCTTAACACGAAATATAAGTAATTTCATTTTGAATCTATTTTCAATTCTTTTTTTAATATATTTGTAACAATATTAAAACATGTCTGACCCGGGTAAAGCATCGAAGGGCAAAGCTAAGTATTCTTGTTCAGCTCCTAATTGTTTAAATAAGTATTCTACCTCGGAGTTGCTGCTCTTCATTTACTGGCTAAAGTTGGCAAGTACTAACAAATTCTTAATTTTTTATTTATAACAATTTTGTTTGTTGAAGAGATTAATCAATTAAGCTACATTTTTCCAAATTGCAGTAAACCTATACTAAATAATTTGATTGTTAAATTAACTAGTATTTTTATAAATTTCAATATAATTAATAGTCAATAAGTTTTACTTTTTCCTCCTCTTAAATTAAAACCTTGCCTTAGTGAGAGGGCTTGCGAACTTTAATGATTATTACAGAATTTAAAGGATATCCTTTTGTTGTCTGTCAAAAATGAAAAGTAATTTTTAAACTCTTAATTTGTTATATCAACTAGAACAGATTTGTTTTACAGTTAAAATAAAATTCAAATTAACTATTGAACTATGAGAAATAATTTTTGTTTATAAACTAATTAAAATTAACTTGTACTTATAAGAATTGGTAACATTTTGATAAGAAAAATTGTTCAATAAGGTATGTACACTTTTTTTTGTTTTTATAGAAAACGCCCTGAGAAAAAACCTAACACCTGCATCGAAAAGTGGTCCATTTTCCAAGAATGAGAGGAGACTACTATTAATTTCACTTACAATTATTGTTATGTAATATCGAGTACATGTTATGTATGTAATAAACGTTTAAATGCACCTTACTTGTATTAAATGATTAAACTATACCTTTTTATGGGCTGTTTGTTTACAAACTCAAAAATGTAAACAATAACAAGCCACAACATTTAGTTTAAATGTTTATGTTTCAAGTATTTTAGTATAAATATTTCTTTATTTATATTTTTTGGAGTTTTATTACTTTAAAAAACTAATATTTATGTTAAATACAATATTTTAATTTAAATATTAGTTTCTTTGAGTAATGAATTCCGAAAAAAATGTAAATAAATAATAAAGTACATTTGAATGAACCGCGGGAAAAATAGTCACTCTTCTTTTTATTTTCTTCTTCTTCTGTTCTGCCTTTAACTGTCAAGCCAATTGTCTAATGTGCGATGGTGGCTCCAAATAGTATGCTGAGGAACTAAACGTGTTACCAGTGCCGTGCATGTAAACGATTTATCTTACATATTAATTTATCTATGATGGCTACCAGTGGGTTCTGATGGGTTATGATATGGCAAAATTATGGCAACCGTGTAGGCCTGGTGATTTGACAAGGTCAATGAAATAGATAGTTACATAGATTGATCATCCATATTTTTTAAAATAAACATAAGCTTATGCCTTGAAGTAAAAATGTAAGCAAATATTTTTTTTTAAATATCTAAAAGTTAAAAATTGGTTTTAAAACACATTTTTGCTAAACAGATTCAAATTAATAAATATTTGCCAGGCAATATGGCCGTTCGTAAACGACCAGCTTTGAACAATCTATATAACTATATATGTATCATTGACCCTGTTAATGACAACATGACAACAGGGTTGCCATATCTAAACTGTCATTACCCACTGATAGCCATTTGGACAGGTCGTTGGAATGCCTAATTGTTGACGGTTCTGACATTTTATAATTTGATATCTCATCCATTACTTAGTTTTTTACTTTATTTTGTAAATAATAGTTATTCAGTAAGAAATTGTATTGAAAATCTACAATTATGGATCCTTCTACACTGAGTACTATTAAAGGTAGCAATTCCTGAAAAGCCTTACAAGAAAGGGAAGACACCTTATTATTTTACATGCTGATTCTGAAGGTTTTGTAGAAAATGCATAATTGGTTTTTGAAGGTAAAAAGATGGGAGATTACCATGAAGAGATGAATTCCGAAGTATTTTAGAAAAAAATAATTTTATTACTGATTTTTTAAAACTAAAATTTGATGAATTTCTAACCAAAATGATTGAAATGTAACTAAATATTCAACCAAATTTTATTTATTAGAATAGAATAAAAGTATTTACAAAATTGTTATAACATTTAAAACACAATGTACTACTTTAGGGATAATCTTTATTTGGCACAATGAGTTAACATTACTTTCACAAAAAATATTTTAAAAATATTTTAAATTAATACATAGGTATGTATGAATAGTTCACTTTAAAAAATATATGTTGACTATTGTTGACATGTAGTGTTATGAAAATGTTGGTTTTAATTTTCAAAACAAATTCTTGACTCATAGGCCTGTAAACTTTTGAATGCCTTTATTTGCCCTCTAGCGTATTAACCATGGGTTAATACTAAATAAGCCTTAATATTCACATTATTCATAGAAGAGATACCAGTTACTCTGTGATCCACTTGTCATTCACTGATTAACTTTTAATTTTTATACCTATAACAAATATATCCTTAAAAATGTAAACAGATTTTTATATTTTATACTAACCTGGCTACATCTGGATATTCCATTAACAATTTTCCTAAATATTTAATATCCATTTTAAAAAGATCATAGTTATTCTTAAAAAGTCGATTTCAAAAGCAAGAAAAAAGTATTTCTGACATCAATCAACAACCAAATTAGGCATTCCAACGACCCAATAGGTGCCAGTGGAAAATTCCATTGACAGTGACATTTCGTTTTAGACCCACATTTCAGATCACAATAATGTGAAATTTGCGACCGTTGTCTGGGACCAATTAAAAAATTACTTCTATGATATTTATTAGTTTCTTAACCGCTCATTGGCCGTTCACCGACTAAGGCCGATAAAGATAATTATTTCATAAATTTTGAACACGACTATATTTCGAAACTCGCTCTTAGTAACAAATCTAGTTACTTTTCCCTATGTAAATGCATCTTTTCAATTCGCTCCTCCTAGTTTAAAAACAGAATATAGTATACTACAGCCTAGAATTAATAAATATGGGCGTAACTACACCGCATGACTTGTATACTTTTTTCTTAATCTGTCTGTTACTAAACCTTACCTGTTTATTTCATTTGATTAAAATATCGACCCCAATATCTATTTCATTTAAGATTGATCATATTTGCTATTAATTAACTTCGTGTTATCTGGTTATCAACAGTTCAATTAACTTACCGAATATGATGTTCTTTAGTTTGTGCTACATTTAATTTGTTTTTTCTTTTTTACAGTTGGACTATTCAAGTTTCTGTAATAAAAAAATTTGTTAATATTTTAACCAATTTTTTTAGTACAACAAAAACATGTTAGTAGTACTAATATAAACCGTAAATAAAAAAAACCTGCGTACTGTTATGAAATATTAAAGCTATGACAAACAATAGGAAGTTAAAAAAATGTTGAAAGTTTTAAAAGTTTTGGGTTCAGGAATTAATTAGAAAAAAATTTTACATTTGAAAACATCTTTTTCTTTCTATAAAAGAATTTTACTTTTGAATAGCCGCACACTCAATTGTAATTGGATTAATGTATAATTTGCATGTTATGAATAAGATTTATTACTCGATTGTTTTGACCTGAAAACTTTTAATATAGGTTAAACAAGATTTGAAATCAATAGCCTTGTAAATAGAGTTTTTTTCTAAAACACTTATTCAACGTATTTATGAATTATAATTTGGTTCGGCGTTTTTAAGTCATTTACCTAATTTTTAAAGACTCGTTTTATTAATCCAGGGTAATCTAGTAAAAATATTATAACTAATCGAATATCTCATTTTAATAATGAGGGACGAGTGGTCTAGAATATTATCAAAGAGTTAACCAATAAAAATAATGTTGAAACAACATCGGTTTTATAGATGAAAATTATTTCATGAGTCCGATAAAGTTTCAAATATTTGTAACCAAAGGTTTTATAAAAGAGCCTAAACTTTTGACACATAACTTATCCCAATATAAAATTATAGATTATAGTAAAATAAAAAACCATAATCACTCTTTACTATTATTAAAGGCTTATAAATCATAAACCAGACTTTAAAACTATCCTAAAAAAATAGACGATTCTCAGGACACAACGAAGTACCACTATTATTTATTAAAATAATAATTAAATAGATAGTCCACCTTTAACAGATTTAGTAAACCTTTCTTTCACCATAAGCAATTTTACTAACTGGGAAGGTGACTGTGGAATCTTTTAAATTTGGAGATCCCATCTTGTAAATAAAACAGTAGTTTTTTAGAGGGTGTATATGAATATAATAAAATAGGTGATTCCATCATGACAGAAAAATATATAACGACATTTTTTGTGTACATAAATATTAATGCTTGGCAACCGAGGTCGTCAAGTACCTAGATAGGAGGAGTGCGCCTAAATCTTGCCTCCCACTAAGCTGCCTCAAAAGGTAAGATTGATATGTGTGGCATGTGTGTGACATGTATATAAAAATATTAAGCGCTTTCTTTTATGTCATCTGTGTTACTCGCGAGCAGTACCAGAGCTGCTCCTGACTCTAATTGACCGTTCTTTTTAACGGGGCTTGTTGATCTGGAGCAACTCCCACATGTTTTCTTCTCCCCTCAAGCACATTGTCACTTGTCTTGTCAATTGTCATTGGGTTATCGGTTTAATGTCAGATAGATTTTATATATCTTTTATAATATATTATGACTAAAAATTAAAATGAATACAAAAAATAGATTTATTGAACTTAATGATCTACAACTAAATAAAAAATACCGTCTACTTGTTTCTAATGAAGATTTCGACAGAGCATCCATAGGTAATAAATTAAAATTTAATAAATGTATACATACTGTGCATAAATTTATATTTCAGATGAAGAATTTGCCAGGTCTCTAATAAATCACTGTAGGGTGACTTCAAAAATGCCATTCAATTCACCAGTGGTTGAAAATACTGATGCCCAATCATCTACTTCTGTGGCAAATCAAGTACAATTAGCATCTTCGGAAAAGTGCATTTGGTCATATAATAAAACTACGGCACTTATAGAATCCATGGAATCATATTATGCTTCATTTAATGACCCAAGGCAACTAAAACATATCTTTGAAGGTATAACAAATGATTTAAATAGTTCTGGTTTTACTAAGCCTGTAAATGCAATCCAAAACAAGTGGAAAAGTCCTATGCGTAGCTACACAAAATGCAAGGATAACAGAAATCGTACTGGTCAAGGTCCCTCCCGTTTTTTATGTTATGAGAGAATAGACGATTTTGTTGGTGATAAACCACAAAATGAGTGTAGCCACTCAATAAACAGTTTGGAAGATAGCGAATCAGATGTTACAGTAGAAAATATTGAGGACGAAGAAAATATACAACCAGAAAGTATAAATAAAAATACAGAGCCAGGCATCACTGAAAATGCAGATGGGAATATGCAAGAAAAATATACAAATTCACAGGACCATCATAAGAAGAGACTGAGTGAAAAACAAATCAAAAAAGAATATTTTGAAATAAAGAAAGAGGAATACAAAAAAAGGCAAATTAGACATGAGGAGAAAATGCAAGTTGAAAAACGAAAATTAGATTTGTTGGAAATATTTATTCAAGAAAAAAAAACAAGCCATCCTAAAACCCATGACATATTAATGTGTCATTTTGTATAAATCAGAATTTTCTGTTTTGAAATTTTTGTGATTGTATTTATGATTTTGTTTGTTTTTTGTGTTTTTTGTTTGTTTTTTTGTGATTTTTCGTTAAATAAATTGTTTTAATATCTAGTTGTTTCATAAATAGGTACGTACATATATTGCAACTGGAAAATATAGAATTTCGTAGTGCAAAAACATTAATTTATCTTTTTTTAAGACCACCACTGATCGCACTAATGAACCTGTCAGACTGCAGCCATGCTTCTGTAGAATTGTAGTTTTGGTCTTAAACCTGTCAACTGAGAGATTCAACTAAACCCATTTTTTTTTATTTTATTTATCTAATATTTATTAACAAAATATATTTTATTTTACAAAAAATTAAAAAATATACATTTTTATATAACCTAAAAATAATAAAAAAATATAAAACATTTGTTAACGAAATTTCTTGTCAGAATTACCAAAACTATTGGCCCCATTCCAGTTGCAGTCCCTAACCCTAGATCTGTGCTTGGGGATATATATGGCTCCGAATGGGTTAAGCATCTCAGAAAATGCAATGAAACAACTATAATGTAAAATTAATTTAATATATAAAGTCTAGGGAAATATATGTGAAAACAAATTTTGTTGCATTGTATTAATTTCATTTCCATTGCAAGTAATTATTCCAATGAGTTGATTATAGTCCTCATCATAAGCCTCTGTCTCTTCTAATTTACTACCTTCATCATCTAGGCATATATTGTGTAATATGCAACAAGCCATTAATAGTTTGGTACAAAATGATATGTCTAAATTTTCTGAGGATTTTAAACGTCTAAATCTATTTTTTAATAAAGCAAAAGATTGCTCAACAATAACCCTTTTTGAAGATAATTGTGTGTTAAATAAATGTTGTTACCTTGTCAGAAACCCAGTATCTTTGAATGGGGTGACCAACCAATTTGAATTTGGATATCCACAATCCCCATACAAGAAGTCATGTTCCATAAAATGTGGATTAGATAATATTTTATTATATAAAGAAGATTTTATTAATAGTCTTGAATCATGTATTGAACCTGGCTCTCCACAAAACACATCAATAAAATATTTCTCGTGATCTCCCACTCCTGGCAGCAAAATACTATGGCAGCCTTTTCGATTTACATAAGAATCTTGATTTTTCCATGGTTTGACAATTTTAATATGACTACCATCAATAATACCAATAGCACCAGGTAATCCAGCTTTTATAGATAATTTATCTCTAATTTGAGCTCTTCGTTCTGGAGTAAGCCATTTTATGCAACTTTTATGGAATTTGATCAAAAAATTAATAACTCTTTTTAAGGTTGTATGAGCAGCACTGTATGAAATTCCGAAACGATCTGAAATCTCTCTAAAAGAGTTTCTATTTGCAAGATACCATAAAGTTATTAGCATTGCCTCTTCAGATGAAATTTTTTCTCTTCCTTTTGAATGTGTAGGCAAAATATTTGTACTCCAATTCACCTGAAACAAAAAATGTTTAAGAGTTTTATAAAGATAGATTATTTATTAACTTAACATTATACTCTTAAAATCTGATGTATTATTTATACACAGATATATATATATATATATATATATATATATATATATATATATATATATATATATATATATATACCTATATTTGCGCCGCTGTTTAGCCCCAGATAATATTAGGTCGTTGTTTAACCCTTGCTCGTATTAAATTTATTCTTTAATACATTTGCATCGCAGTGTGGCCCGAGATAATGATAGGTCGTTGTGTATCCCTTGCTAATAATAACCACATTCCTTTAATTTTCGCTCGGCTGCAGACTTTACGACATGTTTATGTTATCGCTATCAGCTTTATTGCATTCTTTAGCGTCGATTTTAATATTTCTTTTCAGGAGCGGTGTACCTTATGAGTTTATTTGCGAACGTTAATTGTGTTTTTCGTAGCCCGCGCGAATCCTACTGACGCGAATTCTACTGACTGCGCCAATTATGGTTTTTTAAAGGAAAAACGTTTTTAATTCCAAACTACAACTCTAACGAATGAAGAATATCTGAAGAATTATTAAAATAAACGAGTTAACATATATTTATAACTTTTTAAATGCTGACTAAGCTAGAGATAAAAAATATTTACTATGCTAATTCTTTACATATAACTCGATAGCAAACAGAATCCCAATGCAGATTGTCTCAGAAGTTAATGAGATAAAACGACGTGAGAATATTATTTTAATATTTTGAATTCCCGAGAATATTCATGAAGTCTCTCAGTCTGTTCATGATATTTGTTCAAATATTAATCCTACTATGCATGGCCACATAACAGTTATTAAGAGATTGGGGACACAACAAGTTAATAAAGTACTACCAGTTAAAATGACGTTCTCTGAAAAAAATAATATAGCAACTCTGCTTAAACGGCAAACAGATTTTCCAAAAACGGATCAGTACAAGAATATTAGAATAAGATTTGATTTAACTGTGATTCAAAGGGATTATCATAAATTAGTGTTTAATGAGCTAAAACAACGTTGAAATAATGGAGAACCAGGGTTGTACGTTATTTATAAATCTGGAATTCCGGTCATCAAACAAAAAAAAACTAAATAATTCGTCCAATAGTCTAATTAGAAAAGTCAAAGAATTTTCCATAATCTACCAAAATTGCAGAGGACTTAATTCAAAAACACACATATTCTTCCAAAGTATCTTATCACTTGAACCCAACATTGTCGCTGTAGCTGAAACTTGTTTGAGTACTGGAGTACATAATGCCGAATTGTTTCCCGATAGGTAATAAGTTTACCATCAAAACCGCACTCTTGGATTTTGTGGTGGAGGCGTTTTAGTTGCGGTTGATTCCGATGTTCATTCATCTGAGTTATAGTCCATCCAAACAATAAGTCAACTATAAAGGAATACCGCAAACGCAAAACCTGTTTAAATAATTCGAAAAAAAATTGGTATAGGGAACGGGTTGCTTGTCGGAAGTCAGCTAAACTAACTCTTTGATAGACCGCCCAAAGACGGAGATATATGTTTTTACTTAATAATTTAATTATATGTACGTATTATAGGTATATGTTTCTTTCGATTTGAAGATTTAAAATAGTAATTTTTTATATACATATATACCTAATAAGAATAAAATAAGTAGGATTTATAGCTGATGTTTTCCTTCAACGATTTCAGTGTTTTTGATAAAATTTTGCATTTTTTCTCCAAGAAGCGTGAATAGCTTTGTCGGTATACTGCCTCTGTAAGTATATTGTTTTTGGCGGTGTATCGTCTTTGATGGCTATTGCCTTTGTCGGCTATTGCCTTCGTCGGCATATTGTCTTTGTCGGCATATTGTCTTTGTCCATTTAAAGAGCCGAACCAATGCCGAAAAGGAAAATGAAACGTATTTGAATAAAAATAATTATTTTTACTTTCAGTGGAGTTTTGTTCATCTTAGTGACCTGTTGAGTTTTGTACGGATAACAGCTCCTGCATCGTACTTTTTAAAATTTTATAGAATATTAGTTTCTGTTTTATTAGTGTTTAGTTTCGTTTTATCAATAATCAGTTTGTGTTTTGGAGGTTATATAGTAATTTTAATAAACGAATAATACTTTTTGTGTATGTGGTATTAACTATGTGGAGACCGTGGGATAGTATTCCGAGCACCAGTACATCAAACAATGATGAAGAAACTAATGCAGTGCCTATGCAAATAAAAAATAAACTCTTTTTAAATGAACAGTCCCAGCAAATTTGTTTAAATTTTTATAAAAATTTGTTAAAACGTGGATATATCGAAAACACTTCTACCGTGCAAGAAGCAGCGTTTCTTACTGGTATATCGGTTTATAAAATGAAACAAATTATAAAAAATGGAATTTCCAGCAGAAAAGTCCGTGAAGACAAAGGTGTGCAAAAAAAATTAGATCCATCCATGGACAAATCCATTGTGAATACAGTGTATGAACTTTATAAACAAAATACCATTCCCACTCTTGATATTATACATAGACGCTTAAGTGAAACTTATTTCTATACAAATATAAAAAAGTCAACATTGTATAATTGGCTAAAAAAAAATCGGTTTTAAATACAAAACGATAGATAAAAGAAGTGCAGTGGTGGAAACAAGACGAATAGTAAACTGGAGAAATTCTTATTTACAGAAAATTCGTGAACATAAAAATGAAAGCATGCCAATTTATTTTCTAGATGAAACGTGGTATGATTCGCATGATACTCAAAAAAGGGCTGGACAAACGATAATAAATATTGCCAAGCCTTAGGTATCCCTCCAAATAAAGGCACTCGACTGATAATATTAAACTGTGGCTCAAAGGACGGTTGGGTTGACAATGCCTTATTTTGCAAAAAATTTTAATTAATATTTTTTTTTTAATAATATCCTATATGGCCAAAGAATGATTTGATATGTGATGTATATTTTTTGTATTTTAATGAAATTAAATTTAAAAGAAGATATATGAGTATGTGTTAAATTAAACTAGGTTTATCTCTGTCATTGTAGTACCTAATACTTTTTGAATTTTGTTCCTTTTCTCTTAAAATTTGAAAAACATTTAAATTTTATTCTCTTGTTATATTTATATGTATCCGGTGTTTTCATTTTAGTCTTAATTTTATTATTAGGTAATTTGTTAAAAAAAAAATGATAAGAAGATCTATAAAAATTTTAATAAAATACATATATTTTGTGCTTATAAATTTACTTTCTTTGACTAGAGAAATTATAAATACTCGAACTTATCTCTAAATTATATTGCAAATAATTAATGTATTGCATACTTTTAAATCTACAACAGAATTTTATCGTATTTCATCTATTTACTAAAATTTCGATTTTGACGGTTAAAATGTGCAGTTATAGTAATTGAATGAATAATTTATAACATAAATATTAACTTCGTAATAGTTCTTTTAACATTTTACACCAATGACCATTTTTCGAAAACGTAAAGATACTACGTTCTTGCTGT